ATACATACATACGTACATATGTATAAATAAGAGAGAGAGAGAGATACTCACATACTTTTTAACATCATGACTGATTTTGTCCTCCACAGATTTGTTGCATATTTTCACATATATTTCAGTCCTTAGTGGGGAATCAGTCAGTGAAATGTTTTGACTTTTTCAGGTGAACATCAAAGACTTCATTTACTTCAAACCAACTGATATTCCTGCCATGTTTTCAAAATGCTCAGAAGTTTCTCAGGGATGTAAATAAATATTTCTTATCAATCTATCAACATGCTTTAGAACGTCATTGTGAACTTCATAGTTACGTCAAGTGCTCCATTAGAACAAGCTGACATCTGGGAGTAAGAACAATTAAACGGACTCATAGTGGAGAATACTAAGCCTCGGCTGCATGCAGTAAACTGATTCAGTATTTGTAGAGCACAAGTTTTTTTTTTCTTAAGCTCTCATGATGTACATCACAGTGCACAATGATGTACAATTCAAACAGGCAAAGAGACAGGAAATATGATACGTCATTAACCTCCCATTCTATCAGCCATGCAGTAATTCTTAATACAGTGTTTCAGATTTAAATTGGCCTCTGGTGCTCACACACTCAGTTACCAGTTAATTATATCTCGGACATGGCCCCACAACTTGGTAATCCAAAGGTTCACCCCAAGCTCTGTTAAGTACTGAATCTCAGGCATTAACATCTTGCGACACAGCTTCCGATGTGCTTTGTCTATATTCTTTTTTAAATTATAGCCCATGATAGACTTCTCTCCGATTGGCTGCCAGGGCTGCATGTCTGTCTCTTGGATGCTGCCAGCTTCTACAGCATGGCCACCCTCAATGCAGATAGATGTCATCTCTTTGTTCCTCTTCTTGAGCTCTGCCACATCCGCAGCCATACGCTTCCGCCCGTACGCATCTACTTTCTTCCAGAAAGTTTGATTAAAATGCTGGTATAGCTTCCAATCAATAGCATTCCACTCAAGGGCTCTAGCTCTCAGCTCAGGAGTAAATTTAGACACAGTGGATCCCTTACGGATATTGAGCTTAAAGAAGAGCAAATCATCCATCTCCCAGCAGAGGGCATCCTTTAGCAGGATGAGTGATTCCTCAAAGTGTTCTACTAACATGACCAGCTGAAAACGGTCACTGATGAATTTGATTCCTTCTTCCACTCGCGGATCATTCATATCCAGAGAGTTGTCCAGTCCAAAGTCAAAAAACAGCAGATTCTTGAGGTAGTAAGAGTTGAAACTCTCTGGATCAAAGTACTTGTGGGGATCACGTAGGAACTCAGTCAGCTTGTCGTCACCTGGTATCTTCCAAGTAAAAGGCACCAGGCGGCCAAAGTAGTGGAAGGAGGATTCAAAAAGCTCTGCAGGGTCTCGCAGAATGGTGATGTAGGATGTGTCCACAGGCAGCAACTTGGACACTTCAGGTGCATTGAAGCGCATGTGATTACAAATAATATTGAAACACATTCCCGGTCTGTAGTCTTTAACCTGGGAGCGCTGGAAAAGAGATGGGTAGAAGAAGTCATTTCTGCTTTCGGGAAAAGCAAATTTGAGCTGGTGTTTCTCTCCAAATCGGAAAAGGATGTTAAGGAAGGTGCTGCTGGCTGTTTTGTGGGTCTTCATGAACATGATATCAACTTTAGGAGCACAGGTGTAGGCAGTGTCTGAATTGTTGATGGTTGGTTTGGGGTGGGACTGTGTTGGACGGTGGGCGCAGGAATAAGGCACCGGAACCCTACATAGATGAAAAGGAGAACAAACTATAAAGACATATGGGGTTTTGTGGAAATTATCTCTAAATGATGTGACACAAAATAAACAAAAGCATCAACCCATCGCACTTGAGAAACTAGAAAGAAAATATTTGTTTTTAAAAACAAGTTCAGTTTTGCATTTTTTAAATACTTAAATAATTGAATGTGAAATATATTCCTTGCAGACAAATGCAAATTTTACATGAGGGTTTCTACAGAACACATCCACACCATCTTACTCAGGCAGACTGAAGTGGACCTGTGGAGTGGAGAGGCAGTAAACAAGGATCATGCAGCTTGTCAGGAGTGTACCCAGGACCAGGCTTTTGCACATGGACCTCCATTGGATTCTTTGCTTGCCAGTCATGGTCCAGCAGAAGAACAGCTCACCTGAAACGCAGAACAAATCTCTTCTTCATCCTCATAATATGAGGTCTGTAAGATGAAATGGGGCCTGATTATTTAAAATCTTGTAGGATCATTCGATTCTGGATTTGACAAGGAGCCAATCAAGAGAATCCAGTAAAGGAGAAATATGCTCTCTCTTTCTAAACCCGGTCAATACTCCTGCTGCAGCATTTTGGATCAACTGAAGGCTTTTCAGGGAGTTTTTAAGACACCCTAATAATAATTAATTACAATTAAAATTGCAATTAAAATAATGACAGTAGTCTATAGTAATAATCAACTTGTTTCTCATCACCACAGGACAGGATATTTTTAATTTGAGAGATATTGTGCAAATGGGAGAAAGCGTCTACATATTTGTTTAATATGCACATTGAGCTACATATTCTGTTCAAAAACAACTCCAAGATTCCTCACAGCGTTACTGGAGACCAAGGTAATGCCATCCAGAGTAAGCATCTAGTTAGAAAACGTCTAACCATCTATATAAGATTTTTTGCGCATTGTACAATACAGCATCATGGATAGATAAAGTTGGATATCATCTGCATAGCAGTGAAAATGTATGCTATGTCTTCTATTGATACTGCCTAAGGGAAGCATGCATAAACATAACTGGAACTAATACAAAACCCTGTGGAACTCCATAATTAGCCTTAGTGTGTAAGAGGACTCTAAATTTACATCAAAAAAGTGGAGTCTGTTAGCTAGATATGATTCAAACCACTGCAGCGCAGGGCCTTTAATGCCTATGGCATGCTCTAATCACTGTAAAAATTATTTTTGGTCAACAGTAATGACAACATGCTCTGATTGCTGTAATAAAATATTATGATCAACAGTATCTAATGTTGCTCTGAGATCCAGCATGGTAAGTCCACTATCAGAGGCCATAAGAAGATCATTTGGAACTTTCACTAATGCTGTTTCAGTACTGTGATGAGCTGGAGTCAACCCAGAAAGATCAACTGGAGAAAAAGACTCTAGATAAATATCAGTGGTATTGAAAGAAGCTGTACACAATGTAATGTTTTTAAAATGGTCATGAGTATTTTTTTCTCTAATGGATAAATTTTTAGGCAGCACAATAGCAGGGTGGTTAGCCCTGTTGCCTCATGGTGAGAAGGTCCTGGGTTCCACAATCTTCTGCCTTTCTGTGTGGAGTTTGCATGTTCTCCCCGTGTCTGTATGAGTTACCTCAGGGTACTTTCCCATAGATTTGAATGTGAATGCAAATGGTTGTCTGTCTCTTTGTGTTAACCCTGCAACAAACACCTCTCATCCTACGGTAGCTGGGACAGGCTCCAGCACCCCTGTGACCCTGAATTTGCCAAGTGAAAGAATGGATGGATGGATTTTATTTGTAAAGAAATTCATGAAGTAGTTAAGATTAAAAGAATGCTTGACTCAACAGAGCTCTGACTTTTTGTCAGCCTGGCCACAATGATGAAGAGAAACCTAGAGTTCTTATTTTCTTCTATCAGTGAAGACGAGTAAGATGTTCTAGCTTTGTGGAGGGCTTTTGAGAAACAAACTACTTTCCAGGCTAAATCATGATCTTCTAAATTAGCGAGACAACATTTACTCTCCAGCTTACAACTTATCTGTTTTAAGGTGTGCATTTGAGAGTTACACGAGGGAGTCAAATATTTTCTAATTTGAGATTCTCTTTTCAGAGGTTCTACAGTATCCAGATTCAAATGCATTGAAGATGTAAAATCATTAACAAGATAATCAATTCTGTGGGATTAAAGTTCAGGTACCTGCTCTGCACTCTGCTGGCACAAGGCACTGAAGAAGATAAAACTGGGGGAATTATATCTTTAAAGTTAGTTACAGCCAGTGTTGGTCAAGTTACTTGAAAAAAGTCATCAGTAACGAATTACTGATTACTTCCCCCCAAAAGTAATCCCGTTACTTTACTGATTACTTATTTTCAAAAGTAATTAATTACTTATTTACTTTTTGAAAACACGATTTACAACCTGAATAGGTAATAAAGCGTTAGATCTTTCAGCCCAATTCTACTTTTTCTACATAATCCATCATACAAAATGTAATCAAATGGAAAAGTCCCTTTTTAAAACTTGTTTTATTAGTTTTAATCTTTTAACTTTATGCATCAAGCAAAAATTTGATTATATGCAACATTCTCTGACTGGAAGAAATTTGTTTAATATTCAAACCTATTTTCTGCACATTCCAGCACATAAAATTTTTTTTTTTTGGTTTACACTCACTCTTTCAAATAGATGCAAGTAAAACACAGCAGAAAATAAATAAAGCCAAAGACTAGCGGTCCTGTTGCTCTATTTTCACCTGTAAAGCAGGAGTTGGGTAGGCGGAGGTTTACCCTGGTGCAGGTGTGCCGCAGCGGTCAGTTGAAGAATCCGCGAGTTTCTCTGTGAATTTCCCATTACCTGGCAGCGCACTCGGTGCTTGCTTGGATGTTTAGGGGGTTTTTTCGCTGTAAAAAGAAGTTTTCTTCCCACGCACAACGGACACTAATGTTTTTGTCACTTTTTATGGAATCAAACTTAAAATAAGGTCAGTGCTTCCACGTTTTAAACTCTGCACGCTCATACTCTCTCCCGAACTTGATATGTTATCCATTGTTGATCTGCACAAGGCTGTTGTCACAAACTCGCACTTGCTTACGTCACTGTCATGAGACATTCTGCAAAAAAATCACGGTTTTAGTAACGCAGCGTTCCTACGGGAAAGTAATGGTAATCTAATTACCGTTTTTGCAATAGTAATCCCTGACTTTACTCGTTACTTGAAAACGAGTAACGCGTTACTTGTAAGTACTTGTAAGTAACGCGTTACTTGTAAGTACTTGTAAGTAATGCGTTACTGCCCATCTCTGGTTACAGCACCTTCAAAAAGACATGTACTGGAATGAAATGTATTCCCCAATTCTGTGTGATCCTTTATTGTAAATTTAAATGTTGGAAAATATCCGACAATAGAGGGTTTTGGGGAAATATTGTTAAATGTTCAGTTTCTGTAGAATAAGTTAGAAGAAGACCTAGAGTGTGGTTAAAGTGGTGGATGGGTTCTTTTACATTTTGAGAGAAGGTAGTCAGAGGTTAAGTTTAAAAATGCCATCCAGAGGCTTTCGTCTTCAGTATCTACATGTATGTTAAAATCACTCACAATAAATATTTTATTTGAGCACTAAATCAGATAAAAAGCCTGAGTAATCAGATGGAAACTCTGAGTAAGGCTCAGGTGGATGATAGATAACAACAAATAAAAAGTTATTATACAGTTAGTATAACTCAGGGGTGCTGATTCATTTAAACTAACATAATCATCCTGCTGTAACCAGGTTTCTGTAGGGCATGGTGAATCAGTTTGTTGACAAATGATTAATGCATGTTCTAACAGGGAGTTAGAACATGCATTAACCTCATATCTCACTGTTTTACTCTTTGGTACAGTTGTATGTGATATATTGGTCCTCCTGTGATCCTCCCAGAGAGAAATGTAAGCCTGCAACTTTGCTTCCTGGTCTCAACTCTGGATAGTCATGTTTTGGGGAGTTTAATCAATTTGGCCAGATTCATAAAAATGAGAGCTGGTTTATCCAAAGTGGGATGTGTGTCATCTGTCTTAACAAGACCAGGTTTGCCCTAGAAAGTTTCCCAGTTATCTGTAAAACATACATAATTATTTTTGACACCACTCAGACAGAAGGCAAATTAAGAAAAACATGCAGCTAAACACGTCACTACTGGTGCGAATGGGGACCAGAGAAAGCTGCAGAGTTCGATATTCTTTTGGCAAAGTTACACACTGATTTAATATTAATTTTAGTGACCTTCGATTGACTTAACCAAGTGTCTTTACTGTTGATGTGAATTATAATTTTACAAATTTATGTTTATCTTTAGCCAGGAGTTTTAGGGTTCCCTCAGTGTTGCCTGCTCTGGACCCTGTAAGACAATTATCTATGGTTGCTGGTTTCTCTAGCTTCACGTCTCAAAACAGAATCACCAAGCAGAATTTGTTCCTCAGTGGGTGTGTCGCTGACACAGCATAACAAGAACACTTGAAATTATTGATTTAGATAGTTTCTTGGTTATTTAATTGTAATTCGATTACAGGGACTATAATCTTTGTTCGGTTGTGTGTGCAGAAGTGCACACAAAAGCAAAGTGAAAAGAAAAATGCACCACAAAGGCAGGTGAAAGTTGCATTTGTCATTTAGGAAAGGAAGCACTGAATGCGTAGCTTTAACGGTGGTTTTGGTACATGTATTGCTCAGTGGGAACACTCTGACAGAGGGCAGGAACAACAGCTATTTTGGTTAAAATAAAAATTAAAGAAGCTCACTAATAGCAGGTTTACAAACCAGTAATTTTACATGGACAGCAGTGCTATAGTGTGGCCTATAATTTAAGGTGCTAAAGAATATGAACCCACAGGGAAAGGTTACACTTACATAGTTAACCTTGGCTGTCTAGTTTATTTAGACAGAGTTTCACTGAGATTAAGATCTCTTTTTCAACAGAGACCTGTCGAAGAGCAGGTAGGTACAGATCAATAAGTACAATCTTTCAAAATGCTCCAATGAAGTCAATGAATGTAGTTTCACAATTTGGTCCAGCTTGTTCAAATACATAAGCAGCAAAGTATTTCCACCTTTTCCAAGTTGAGTGTGAATAAGCGGTAACATACTACATACTGTATATAATGTAAGTGTATCTAATGAATATTTTAAACAGAAAGAATTTGAACTGTATGAGGAATGACAAAACAACATATTTGTTTCTCAGCTTCCTGTGAAATAAATAATGCATCAACACGGAAAGTGATATTGCATTCCCTCCTGCAGACTGCGATAAGGCGAGCCATCTGCTCACTCAGCTACATAAGTAACGAGTTGAAACTCACCACCTGGAATTTGTAACATTATCTGAACCAGTGTGAACCCAATGCATATACATTCTTTTAATTAAAAATTAACGACAGCTTAGCAAAACATAGTATTCTTTGGTATCAACTTGTCAACCACTAGTGGAATAAGATCGCTTAGAGAGAAAATTACCAAATTAAACTACCCCTTTCCACCCCCAATCCTCTATAGGTTTTGTACAGTTTTGTAGTTTAGTCAAATGGTTCCTAATCTGGGGTGGGGCCTCTGCAAAGTGTCTCAAGCAGTGTTGGGTGTAACGCGTTACTGTAATTAAATTACTCTACTTTTTCAGTGGAAAAGTAACTGATTACTGTTCATATTTAGGTGTTTTAATTACAGTTACTTACAATGTACTTGCGTTATTGTACATTTTCAGACTTATAGTGAAAGAGAGCAGGAGAAGAATTAGAAATATAGAAGTACAAGGACTTACAAGAAGTACATGTACTTTTGGTAACAGTTGTATATATGAATTATACAGAGCTGACCTCCTTACGGACAGAAGCATTCCAGAATGTTTGGAGGTCTCCAACTGGAGAGATTCTCGAATGTTTCGGAGTTGTAGGAGTGTTATGGCCTGGCCTGTAAATGTTCCAGTCAGTGACACAGGGAGGCATTTTGCCAGCATAGGACAGCTCTGTGTTGTGACAGAACTAAATTGCCTGTTATGTGCTGCTGCTGCTTCATAGACATGTCATCACTGTGCAACTCTGTTTCAGTTGCTGTTTACATTCTTGGATTACTGGTTCCTCTACCATCACGGCGTCAATTAAACACCATCCCACACAATAATTTTGTCTTCGTGAAGTAACAGCATACACAAAAGTTGCTAAAAATTATATTTTTATGTATAATGTAGAAAGATAAACCTATTACAGTGACCATTCTAATAACAGCTTTAAATTAGGTTTCCATTAGAAAATGATCATCTGCGTCCCCTCCTTTTCTGATCAAAGCATAACTCCTTAAATATTTTTTCTTTTAGTCATTATTAGGGATGGGTACCGGTGTCCGGTAGTAACCAGACCGAAAAGCAGCGCACATTTCGGTGCTTTTTTTTCCCTGAGCTGTGATACACTTCTAGCCAATCATTTTACGTTTCCGAGGATAGTAGGCGGGCCCAGGTGTTCTTTTAGAGCAGAGCTACAGATTAAAAATGTCCAAGGCAAAGCGGTCAAAAGTCTGGCTTTACTTCACAGCAAAATATGTAAACTCAGCAGCCTGCAACAAGTGCTTTAAGCTGATACAGTGATATTGTCAAAGGAGGTAACACCTCAAATCCTGAAACACCTGGCGACGCATAGCGTTTTTTTTTTTAAAAGCTGAGAAATGCACCGTATTTGATAGCTTGCTGTGAGACCTCACACCAAGCACATCTACTGCAGGTGGGTTGCCTGTTATGCAACATCCCCCAAAAACAGGAAGAGGAGAGTCCTGGCCCCTAGCCCTGCCAGTGTAGCAGAAATGATGACGGATGATGATGGCAGCAGCAGCCGGTCTTCTCTGCGTGAGTAGCTTAATGTTGTTCGTGTGTAATTGTTGAGTAGGCTAACCACGTTATTACATTAATGCATGTAAGGTGAACTAGCAAACATCATCATAGCTACATGCGGCTGTCCTCTTGTTTGATGGCAGATACTCCCTTCACCCTGGCTAAAAAGGCTAAAAAGACCAAAGAAAAAGTGGAAAACAGTTAAACATGAGAGGTTTAGGACAAAGTTTGTGTTTTTTCCATTGTTTAAGCACTGCTTCCAGCCAAGAGTGATACCATATATGCCCCATAGCTGCAGAAAAGGCTAACATTGTTATCTTTTTACAAAAAACACCTGAACATGAGAGGTTTTTGGACCAATTTTGTGTTCTCCATTCTTTAAGCACCGGTTTGAGCACCGGCACCGTTTCAAAAGTACCGGTTTGGCACCGGTATCGGATAAAACCTAAACGATACCCATCCCTAGTCATTATTGTAAGTCACACATGGCAGTGCGCGTTTGTCTGTGCTGAACTGAATCTGACAGTGTTTTTGCTGCTTTAGAGAATCCTGACTGTGAAGTACATCATTGCTTCTTGGTATCCACTATGTCAAGTATTCATCTCTTTTTTGGACTGAGGCCAGCTTTCGAATGAGGTTTAGAGCAGATCTAGCAAAAAGTCCATGCAGAGAAAAGTAACTGTGTTTGAAGTTGGGAATAGATTGTTCGCCTGCAAAGGTGCAGTGAAAACATTTCCCACAATAATATCAAAACACCAGCCTGGATAAATAAAAACTCAGTTGTGAGGGTAATGTTTAGATTTTCACTAAAGCTTGATTTATCAAAAATGCATCCCTGGGTAGGATCAACATTAGCATTATTTCACTTACTTTCCTGAATGTTTCCTCATCTATCATGGCTCTTAAGCTTTGCATAGCTGGACTACAAAGTTAGTTTTTTCTCTCTCCCCCATTTATATGAGAAGGAATTGAAAAGAAAGAGCATAACATTGTTTTAAGAGTAAACATTAAGGGTAACAATTACTAGATTTAGTTGAATCGCTGCATTTCATGCAAAAACACTGGAGAAAAGGTGTTGGAAAAGTACAACATGCTTAGAATTGAGATTTACTAAAAGATTATTGTGAAAAGAGCAGAGAAGAAATTCTTACCCTTATGCGCAAGTCCAAAGACAAACTAGTGGTAATGGTAATTTATTGACAATCATTTAGTCCGCCCAGTTCCCAAAAAGTGAATACAAGTTCATCTCCCTCTAACGGCTGTCCTTGTATCTTGATTGTGACAAAAACATGCCGCTATTGACCCAGCACGGTCCTGCTGTCCTATCACATGTCCTGTGCAGCACAGCTCATTCATCTGATTGCTGTTCCTCTTCTCTTCTTTCTCTCCACCTCTGTACGCACACCTGATGCTTTCAGGCAGCCAGCTGCCTCCTCCCTCAACTTGATTCCAAAACTGATCACGCTGAACAAAGCACTGCAGGGAAGCTCATCAAGCCACCTGTGACGTCAGTAATTGTGTCAAGGGACAAGCACTTGCTAGGAAGCGTAAAAGAGGAGGGGTGAGAGGGAGGGAGGTTGAACTGGTGAGGGAGGAGTGAGACTGTACAGTGCCTATTCAGTGTCTACATACAAAAGACCATTGAGTGTAGACACTGGAGTCTGAGCTGCAAGCTGATAGGAGGGGTAGAAAACAGCATAAGAGAAACAAATGTAGAAATCCAGAGCACAAAGACCGAGTGTACTAGTTGATCAAGGCTGCAGAGTATGTGTTGTTAAATTTTACACCACAGATCAGATATTTGATATTTATTTCACAACAAACCTGCACATAAGTTTTTCCAGCTTGTATTTACAAAGGATTGATCTTTTAAATCTCCCTTATCTTTATCTGCAATTCATTAACTAAAGGCTATCGATATTTTAACTCTACATACAAGTTATACCACACGGTACCTTCTGATGTGAAACTGCCATCCCAGGCAACCATTTCAGCAGAAAGTGAACATTACTGGAGCGACAAGTCTATCTGGCTTTGTGTACAGATGTTGCAATACGCTGTCAAGATACCGCCCAAAAAAAACTAAACAAAAAACAAAACCACACTACACATGAACTCCATCTTCCTCTAAACTGATTTCTCGGTTCTTGGAAGGCAGACTTGATCTGTGCTGGTCAACCCACATTCATCAAGCTCAGGCACAACACCGTTTTTGTTCAGCGGGGAGTGGTTCTGCCTGTAGGCAAACAGAGTGCCAGGCTGAGACTTGAACTGGGTGGGCTTGTGAGGAATGTAGATTTGGGTCCTAGGCAAGGGATGAGAGGCTGCAGCGAGTGTCAAACTGTGTGAGGAAACCAAGGAGTGGAGGGGTATGATGGGTGTAGCCTTTGCCCTCTGAGATGGTGCTTTGGTCTTGTGGTTCTTCGTCATTACCACCCACTACTTAAGTGTTAACCAATCAGCAAAGAGGTTCAACCGACAGCAGCAGCATGACCTGAGCCTCTGCAGATGTAAAATCTTAAGCCTTGTGTTAACCTTTTGCCATCTTGTCTGATCCATGCACAGCTTTAAAAAGAGATAGCTGCCCTAAAGCTACAGCCTCAAGGATAAATAATCATTTTTCAATATGGCGCCAAGACTAAGAGAATCATTTCTTCTTAGAGATGCAATATCACAAGTAACAGGTTTAATTCAGTCCGTTTAACTGTAAAATGTTTCGGTTACAGATTTTAAAATAAACAGGAAGTTGTATTGTACAATACAGAAAAGTGGAGCACAGATCAAACAGTTACTTTTACAATAATAATCACACAACTAGCATTTGTGACAACCTGCGCTGTTTGAAGTTCTGCAGAGGTCATTAGAGTGCATGTAGCACGCAGAGCTCTACTGCACTTTCAGGTTTTATGGTATGTAAACCTGCAATGCACTGAGTCTCAAAGTTAAAAAGAAAGTCAGTCTGAAGAAGGCACCAGTTATTTTCGGGCCTTTTTCTTTTTTGCTTTTTCTGAATCATCGTGAGCCTTCCTCTTGGCAGCAAGCTTGTTAGCCTGTAAAAAGAGAAGGAGCCCAGTTAATGGAAGATACTCAACACCAGTTACGCAACCATTTTTAAGCTCAGTGAACTCAGCGGGGGTCAACGCTGGGCTGCGCCGTTCTCTCCGCAGCGGCTACATAATACTGGTAAACACTGTGGCCTGAGATAAAATGCTCAGTATCAACACTAAAATATTCAAAGTTAAAGCTTTTAGGTTGAACAAATATTCTTAGCGAAGCGGCAATGTACGCACCTCACGGACTTTTCTTTTCTTTCCAAACATGATTTTGTCATAGAGGTACTTTTCCTTTTTCTTCATCATCATGATGGCCAGACGCTTCTCCTCTGCTTTCTCCTCCTGCTCCAAGCGTGCCTTATTTTCTACCTTCAGCTTTCCAGGTGTCACTTTGACATGTAGAGACTAAAAGGGAACGAGACGAGTCAATAAAGATTCCAAAAGATCTAAAAAATAAAATCACAATGACAAAGAAATCAGGATCTGACATATCACCTTGCCCTGGGATCTTTGTTCTTCCATTTTCTTAAGGTTTTTCTCTTCTGCTACTTCCTCTTCATCATCCTCTTCATCACCATTGTCATCCTCTTCTTGTTCTTCTTCCTCTTCCTGTTCTCCCTCCTCCTCCTCTTCTTCCTCATCCTCCTCTTGTTCATTGCCTATAAAAGGAAGAAAAAGGAATTATTTAAAATTAGTGCTGCTGACATTTCAATCCTGTGTGCCTATATTAAATATTCACGCTGTGAATATTCATCTTTTATTTTCATTACTGTGTGATGCCAAAGTGGCTTTTTAGGACTCTGATCAGATAAACTATAACCTCCACAAGCTGTCTCGCTTACAGTTCTTTTAGTATATCACAACATTTCGATCCAGCCACCAAGAAAAATTTAATCATCCAATTAAGAAATGCTGGCAGTAATTATTCACATAAGCAGACCATCAGAACAGTTCTGTGTTAAAGTCTCCAAAACAACCCAAAAAAGGAAGCAAATTATTAAACTTTTTTAATCAATCACAAATATCAATTACATCCATTCAGATTAAGAGAGGCCGTGAATGTCTATTTAACTCTCCACATGACATTTTAAAAATTCTTTTATCTGTTTTCAGGTTGTTACATGGCCTCGCTCCAAACCACCTCTCTGAGTTGCTGCACCTGCACTCCCCTTTCCTAGTCGCTCAGATCAGCTGACCAACTCCTTGTATATGCCGAGGACACAGTGCAGGCTCACAGGGGACAGGACTTGGTGTAGTGGCTCCCAAATAGTGGAATTTGCTGCCATTTCACATTAAACAGGCTTCTTTAAAAAAAGGTTTTATTCAAGTGTGTTTTTCTTCCTATGTCCAACCCTTTGCTAAGTGGTTGTTCTTTATAAATAAAGTTGGCTTAACTACTTGATTATGTACAATACTCATAATTTTATGATGTAACAAAATAATGACACGAGACCATGGTTAGAGGTTATGGTTATCTTATAATTTTCCCTCCTATGCATCTGTTGTTCATTCAGATCTGAAAGTATTTTTTGTTTGTTGTTTTTAAAACTAGGACTCTGATCAGAGGGGAAAAGTCAGCGAATTGTGGGCGTGACCTGCATACACACTGAGATATAACTGAACCACACCTGGTTTTTCTCCTCGCTGTAAGGCCATCATCTTCAGTTTCTCTGGAGGCACATAGTCACCTTCCTTCTCCTCCACAAACGGAGACAGGTGAGGGGGTAGAGTCACCCCAAGGAAATAATCCTCCACAGGCAAGAGAATTTTGGCATTGACACAGTCGTATAGCCACTGGGGTTGGATGTAGTATCTAAAACAAGCAAAGGTTTCGAAAATCATCTGTTATGATGGCAAATAAGTGCATATTTTCATGCGTCTACTATGTAATAATGAGAATACAATCTTGCTCTTTGAGGATTTTTTTCTGCTGCAGGATCAAGGGGTGGGGAGATGGGAAATATTCCAGTGAAAGGAGTCATTGTAAAAGTGGGTAATGTACATGAATGACACACTTCCTGTCTCTAGGATTACAAATTCTATGACAAAATCAAATACCTCTATAAGGAAGAAAAAAAAAAAAAAACCTTCTCATACATGATGAAAAGCACAGCATTTCTCTACCTGTTGATATACTGTTTGCCAACACTGGGCCTGTCAATAATTTGATGGGTGATGGTCTCATCTGTCACATCGTATGTGCTACCAATGCACACAGACTTGTCCCAGGATACCTGACCTCCAAAACACCTGAAAGGCAACAGAAATACACAAAAGTGAAAAAGTCAGCTTCAGGCTTCCGTGGACGTTTCTTTGCTTCACTGTAGCATCTCTCGCTCACCTGATGACGAATGCCAGAGACTCTCTGGGAACTTCTCTGTTGAGGTAAAACTTGAGTCCCTCAAAAAGCTTCTTCTGAGCTTCTTGCTGTTTCAGTTCCTTTTCCCTAGCCTCCATCTTCTCCATGTCCTCCTGTAGCGAAGAAATAAAGGGAAAACATTAATTATTCTTCAGGGAATTTCTATTTACAATTAAATCAGAAAAGTTTAAAGTCATTGCTTTAAAAACAAGCCAGCAACTAAAAGATTATTTTTTTAATTTTTTTTTTAAACAACTTCCAACTTGTTGATGTATTATGGTGTCTGATCCATGACAGAGGAATTGTGCAGCTAGATTTATTAGGATTACAACCTTAAAAGAATTCCAAAAGGCAAATGTAAAAAAGCTATGTAAAAAGTACAACTCACAACTCGACAATTAATACATTTACTTATCTCTGAATTTAAGTTGCTCAGATTTAACTAAAGAATCACAGTCAGGTTCAACAAACTGTCTGAACCGGTGTTAAATTGGTCAGCAATGGTGATTAGTAGACTCTTTGTTATCTCAGCTGGAGCTGATGCACTTATACATAAAACAGTGGTTGGTGGCATCTGATGACCAATCCCAGACCTGTCTGGAGACTGAAATTTAACATATGAAAAGCAATTTAAAACCAATAAAAACATGTGACATTTAATTAAATAATCAAGGGTAAAAGCAGAAACTGTTGTGTTGTGACAATTTATATCACACTGACTATGCATGCTTTGAAGTCTAATAGAAACGACTACTCAGA